AGAGCTGTGCTTGGACATGTGCCCCTCAGATCTGCCCCCTTAGGTCTGTAAGATATTTGTATTTAAGGAAAGACTCCCAACATGAGAAATGCTGTGCTGTGTTCAATCTCTTTAGGCTGGTTTTCTACGGTGCTCAAGATAAAGCAAGTGGAAATCCTGGGCCTTAAAAGTTAAATGACCAGACACAAAAAATGCAGAGACAGATTGCCCACAAATGAACAAGGAACTCTCCCTTTCTTGCCACCAAAATTCTGAACTTGTTTTCCACCAGGGGAAATCCAATCCAGTAAACAGTAAGAGAGAAAAGCAACCCTTCTTTCTCCTCATTGTTTTCTTAACTTCTGCATAGCCTCCGGGACACCTTGTACAGACTGTAGGAACATTCTGAAAGTGAAACTGAATTCGGAGGAAGAGAATTCGGGAAAGGTGCCTTTCCTGTTAGAAACCATTTGGCATGATCTGAAGACAATGGACGAGAAAACTGAATTTTTCCCCTTGCAACCATCTCCACCTCTGTATGCTCGGGCTGCTCTAAATATTTACAGATTCTTATGGATATATGATGATTATATTAGAAGAATTAATATTTATGAAGAACTTTTTTTGTGCCCAGCACTGAGCTGTGCATCTTAAACGCATTACTACATTTCACTATGTGCTGCTTTCAAGAAAGAATGTAAGGCTACAATGGGAAGTTAGTAACGAACTCAGAAAGGGTTTAAGTGTTTAGCTATGTCAAGTGCAAGAAAATAGTTTATTCTGACATCTGGGAAAGTAGTTTATTCTGACATCTGGGCTACTAAGCACAGCTCCAACTGGTGGCATTGCACCCAAACAGTTCATCAGTCTAAAATTTTCAAAAGTGAAGGGGCCAGCAGGTAGCATGGTGGTTAAGGTGCTGGATTCCCATATGGCCGACCACAGTTTGAGTCCTGGACCTGGTTGCTTGAAAATCATGCCACATGCATGAGAATAAATAATAATAATATGAAAAAAAAAGAAAAGTTATTTGATGGTGATGATGTGGATAGTGAAGTCTTTGTCTTGACTGATATGCATGGTAATCATGCTGGAAAAAGAAATGTTATATACTCTAAATATATATGTGATTAAATGTAATATTAAAAAAAAAAAGAAAAGAAAAGAAAATCACACCACATGCATGCCCAAAATCTCAAGAGGAGAATAGGAGAAGGAATTGCAGTGTGACCATCCCACCCGTGGGGTGATTTCTCACCTTCCCTCGCAGTGTCTTTACCTCTCTCCGGGGAGCGCACGTACCTCATGACAAAAAAACTTAAGAAAAAAGTGGACAGGTGAGAATAGACTTGGAGCAGAGTAGCAGAGCCCAGTAAAAATTCTAATGAAGACCTGGCGGGGAGTCTGTTCATTCATTCATGTCATACACACCAAGTGCCAAGTGTGGACCCTGCACTGTTCTAGGTCAAGGGATATGGCAATGCACAAAGCAACTCTTGGCCCTCATTAACCTCTTTACGTGTTTGCAGAAGTACACTAAAAACTTAAAATGCGATGTAAGATATGACAAGTGCTAAGACGTAAATAAAGCTTCAAAGATCCTCTTTTAGACAGGGCAATCTCTGTGGAGGTAACATTTGAGTGACCTGTTGGGATGATACGAAGGAGAACCATGTGGTTGTGTAGCTGGAGTCAGACTTGGCAGAGGCCACAGTAAGTGCAAAGGCCCCGAGACTCCATGGCAGTTGCCACTGAGCAGGAGTAGATGAGCAAGGGGGTGACTGGTAGGAGTGGAAACCAGAGGGAGTCAGCAATTGTTCCACTCATTGAGTCTCTATTGCACATGGGTTATTACAACAATTTAATCTTTATAAAATCCCTCGAAGTAGGTCTAATGACTCCCTTTGAATGTTGCCTGAAGTCACCCCGACAAGCAGAGCACTCCTGGAATTTCAGAGCATCTGAGCTCTCCAAAGGTGATGGTCCTCCCGTTTGCTGTTGACCTGCACGTGCTTTCTTTCTCTGTCAACCGGAACACATTCCTGGAGCAGAAAAATCTATTTTTAAATGCTATTTTTATCAGCCTCATTATTTTAAAATGCTTGCCTTAACCTTTCCTTATACCTGGACAAGTTCTGATACCAAATAGGTGTTTTCTGCACCTAGGCTTTGACATGTACTTCACAATGATTTTCTTTCAAAAACTGGTAAAAATAACTTAAAGCACAGCTGTACTAACAGGGAAAATAAGTAGAAATTTAGTAATAGATAATAGCTCTATATAAATAGATGCATCTATATAAATAGATCTCTGCATTCTATTTCTATAAATCTTTTCTTTTTTTTATTTTAAATAAAAGCTTCTTTCTTTAGTCTGTAATACTGAAAAGTTTCTATGAAAACTTGTAGGTATTAAGTTAGTTCCTGAAGAGTTCTGGAATTGTTTCCCAAATGGAATGAAGTCATAAATAATTCTAAAGATATTTTATAATGATAAGATTAGAATTAAGTTCAGCTGTGGTAGCACAGGCAGGAGAGCGCTGCTGTGTAGTGGGTGAGGCCACAAGGGAGGCCCAGGTTGGTTCCTGCCCAGCTGCATAAGCCAGGCACAGCGGCACAAGACTGTAGTCCTAGCAAGGTGGAGGCCGAGGCAGGGGAATCACTACTGATAGGACCCTGTCAGAAACGCCTCTTTTTTTCTCTCTCTCTCCTTCCATCCTAGCTCTCACTCTCTTTAAAAAAAAAAAAAAAAAAAAAGGAACCAGCAGTTAGCATAATGGCTATGTCGCTGGACTCCCACATAGTTGACCACGGTTCACGTCCCAGACCTGGTGGCTTAAATCTCATGCTGGGTGCATGTGCGTGCGTGCCCAAGATCCCAAGAGGAGAATGGAGGAGAAGGGATTGCGGCATGGCCATCCCCCTTGGAGGGTGATTTCTCGCTTTCTATCTCTCTGTCTCTGTCTGTCTGTCTGGTGAGTGCACGTGCCCTATAGCAAAAACCTCTTAAAAAAAAAAAAAAAAAAGAGGAAAGAAAGAAAGAAAAAGAAAAAAAGAAAGAAAGAAAGAAAGAAAAGAAACAAATAGAGTTAAAAGACTGAAAAAATATGCAGCAAAATTCTTATGGCCCATATTAAGAAGCAAAGCAGAAATTTAACTCAATTTTAAAAAATAGTTTTAGTATCTACAGTCAAAAGAGATAAGAATATGCCTTCAGTTTAGCTAAGATAGGCCTATAAATAGGACATGGTGAAATCAGCTTAAGATGAGAGTGATTCAATCTGTCCAAAAGGGATTTTGCTAGCAGGGATCATGTCCAGACTTCCTACTGAGGCTTGCCCTGCAGAGAAAGGAATGAAAATTCACTTTCTAAGTCTGATGTTGATTACTGCCTCAGTTTTCCTTTAAAAAGCTACTGCTTGACTCACTTGGTCATAGTTCGACATTTCATTGCCAGCTATTGCAATCCAGCACTAATTTGATTAGTGCTAATGTCCCAAGCAAGACTAGTAGGACGGTTTGCTGTTCCTTACTAGTTGCATTAGTTTTCTTTTCTTTTCTTTTTTTAAAGAATTATTTGCTTATTTTTATTTATTTATTTATTTTTTTAATTTAACCAGAGAGAGAGAGGGAAAGTGATAAAGCAAGCCTCCAGGTCCAGGTTTCGAACCTCAGTCAGCCATGTGGTAGTTCAACCCCTTAACCGCCATACCACCTGCAGGCCCCTTATTTTCTTTTCTAATTTTTCAGAGGGCATGTACACTTCCTGGAGAGAGAGAGAGAGAAAGAGAGAGAGAAGGAGAGAGAGAGAGAGACAGAAAAGTGAGAACCTCACCCTCCCACACCTCATGGGGACTGGTCACACTGTGACTCTCTCCTTAATCTCTCCCCTCTTTTGAGGTTTGGGGCATGTACACACCTGTGCCTGATATGTTTCTCTAGCTGCTGGGCCCAGGACTCAAACCAGGCTGTCAGCCATGTGGGAGCCAGCCACCTCAATCACCAGGCACTAGTTGTATTCGTTTTCTAGGGCTGCCACCGGGGGGTGGGGGGAGGGGGCTTAAATAGCAGAAATTTGTCTCTCTTCCAGAGGCTAGAAGTCCGAGACAGAAGGGTCAGCCTGGTTGGTTCCTCCGGAGAACCTGTTTAGTGGCTGTCTCCTAGCTCCTGGTGGTTTGCTGGCAGCTTTTGGCATCCTCTGGCTTGTTGATGCATCACCCTGCTCTCTGCCTCTGTGCTCACAGCGTTCACGTGTGTGCTCGTCTCTGTATTCAGGTTTCTTCTTTTTAACAAGGACACATCCATATTGACTTGGGTCCCAACTTCATGACCTCATCTTAATGTGACCATCCTCTGCAAAGACCCCATTTCCAAATAAGTTTATATCTACAGGAACCGGAAGGTAGAATTTCAACATGTAGCGCCAGCCTGTGGCATGGTGTTTAAGGTGACTGGATCCCACATGGGTGACTGTGCAGTTTCAGCCCTGGATCCTGCTAGAAAAAAAAAAATAGAAGAAACACCAGGCGTGTGTGTGTGTGTGTGTGTGTGTTGGGGGGACCTCAAAAGCAGAAATGGAGGAAAGATTGAAGTGTTACCCTCCCACAGGGCATGTGCTTTCTCACTTTCATTCTCTCTCTTCTCTCTCTCCCTTTCTCTTTCTATTTCTGTCCAGCGAGTTCATATACCTCTGGCGAAATTTAAAAATTAATAAAAAATGTCAACATCTCTTTGAAAAATACAATTCTACCCATAACACTGGTATAAAAGAAGATTAAATAAAAACTCTTTTCTTTTGTAGGATCCTTTTAGACACCTTTAAAGATTTTTCTTAAGGACAAGAGGATTTTTAGTAAATAAATCATCTCTTCTTTATGTAGGCATTAGTTTCAGCCTAAGCCCTCCTTCATGAGTGTGTGTGTGTGTGTGTGTGTGTGTGTGTGTGTCTGGGGCTAGGTCTATAGGGAGTACTTGATTTCTGGTCAGTATATTCTATTTAACAAGCAACCCTTTGCTAACAGGGCCAACCTGGAGATTAGCTATGCCAAAGGACTTCAGAAACTGGCAATCAAGTTGAGCAAAGCATTACAGAACACGAAGAAAAAGTAAGTATTATGGCAGAGTTAAGGCACAATCACTTTTTTTTTTTTTGCATTTGCGAAAAAAGTTTACTGCTTTTAGAGAGAATATCATATCTTTTCCACAGTAAAATAATCTTATCCTCTAAGGATTTCAATGCTCTTTTCATTAAAAAATGTTGATTATCTATATTGCGCATGGTAAAAATAATTAATTATAAATTATTCTCTTTAAAAAAAGAAAAAAAGACAAGTACTGGGACCAGCAGTTGGCATAATGGTTATGTCGCTGGACTCCCATGTAGTCGACTACGGTTCAAGTCCTGGACCAAGTGGCTTAAACTCACGCAGAGCGCATGTGCGTGCGTGCCCAAGATACCAAGAGGAGAATGGAGGAGAAGGGATTGTGGCTTGGCCATCCCCCCTGGGGGGTGATTTCTCACTTTCTGTCTGTCTCTCTCTGTCTTTCTGGCAAGTGCACACACCCTATAGCAAAAATTTCTCAAAAAATAATAATAATAAGGGCAAATACTAAAATACTGCATACCCATGAAATCTACTATATTCATTTAGCATAGTGATCTATATTCAAACAACACTTGTGCCCCAAATGGCTTCTCTTAGGTAAGGAGAAAAGGGAATCTAGGCTACAGTGTGACATGTGCATGGGATACTATTTTTTTTTGATGGAGGGGATAATTTGGTTTTGATGATTAAGATAAATTATATTTTTCTAATTTTCAAAATATATAAAGTAATTTAAAATTTTTCAGGTAAATATTAAAAGAAAATAAGTTAATATGAAAAATGTAATATTATTCTAAGAAATACTTAAACTATCCAAGTTCTCCCTTAATAAATTCTGCAGGGTTTAATTTGATGTAGCTAACTGGGCTCAGCTGTGGTACAGGCAGTAGAGGGCTGCTACATCATACTGGAGTCACACAGGACCCGGGTTCAGGTCCAGGTCCAGGTCAACCCGAGCATGCCAGGCACTCACATGCACTCGTGATTCTGGCTGGCTGGGAATCTCGGGGGATGATCATGGTATGGTAAGACATGTCAAGGCTACATGTCTCTCACTCTCATAATAAATAAAAAGATAAAGTAAACGCACATATGTATAAACATGCATATATACAAAGTGACGTATATCCAATTTCAGCTTTCTCTTACAGATGTGAGGCATGTGTAAGAGACAGCACAGGATGTCAAGCAAGGCTGCGAGTTTTGAGGCACTTACTATGTACTGGGCACCGTGTGAAATGCTTTAGAAAGACTCCTAATTAACCCCACAACAACCCTTGAGAGGTCTTATCGTCACCCCTTTTTACAGATAAGGCATTGAGTTGGGAGACTTAAAGAATTTCTCCCAATCACACAGATGATGAGTTGCAGAGACAGATCAACCCAGTCATTATGACTCTGAAAGCCCCCATGTATAGCTGCTCTCTTTGGTGGTTTAAAAGTTGGAATATCTTAGATTGGGAACATACAACTCCTTATCTTTACTCTGTGATCTTGGCCAGGGAATCAGCCTCTCTGTGCCTTGATACTCTCTTCTGTTAGATGGAATAATGATATGTGTTCCATCGTGTATGTGTATGTGTGTGTGTGTGTGTGTGTGTGTTGGAGAAGAGGCATAGGAAATGAGATAATGTATAGAAAAAGTTTGGTACATGGGGTGCAATATATTGCAGCATTAAGACAGAAGTAGATTCCTTCTTTGGGGAAAGAGAAAAACGATATTGACGTTCTAAAAATGATCTTCATAATTTGCTATGAAGATTCTTGGCTAACACATGCTGAAGTGCCCTGAACTGGCAGTGCCATTGCACAGGCCTCTTCTCATGCTGAAAGAGGGGGTGAAGGAAGGGAAAAGGATGCCTTCTGGAGTTCAAATTCCCACTCCTCCTTAGGCATCATCTGTAAGAGCAAATGATGGCTTTGAAATTATTCTGAATGTTAGCTTTATTTTTATTTTGAGTATATTTTTAGTAGACTATAAAGGAGCCAGTACAGCACAGTGGTTGACCATAGATACTTTTATGTAGACTGCCCAGGTTAAACTTCTAGCTCTACCACTTAGCAGGTGAGTAACTGGGCCCTTTTTCTTATCTTTCAATGTCTCTAGAAAGTAGAATAAAGCCTGCCTCACATGGTCTCAGTGAGGTTAAAGTGAGATAATACTAGAATGTATACCTAAGTCAGAAATGACAATTTTAAAAAGATTTAAATAAGACCTGATCAAACATTTCTTTAAAATCAACTCTATTAAGGTTTAATGTACATGCAAAAATAAGCACCTATTTAGGTTTCTGGTTTGGTTGGTTTTGACATATACCTATAGCATGTAACCACCACGAAAATCAAAACAGTTACTTCCAAAAGATTTCTCATACTTATTTGCATTCTTTCCCCTCACCCCTAGCCCCACACAATCATTGACCTGCTCCCTGCCAATAGATTAATTTGGGGCCAGCTTGGTGGTACAGCAGTTAACATGCTGATCGAGTTGTGCTGTATCCATATGGAAGAACATGGGTTCAGTTCCCCAGTGGACCTGTACATTAAGCTCATGGCCCATGATCCTGACTGTCTGGGAAGACTGTGATGGGGGTACCACAGTATGACGCCCTCTGTTAAGGGTACATGTCTTTCTTTCTCTCACTCAGGAAAGAAAATAATAAACTTTAGAATATGTACTTTAGAATATGTATAGACAAATGGTTAGGGATTTTTTTTTCCTGGAATTTCCTGTGATTAGAAGCATACAGTATGCTCTCTCTCTCTCTCTCTCTCTTTTTTCTTTTTCTTTTTTTTTAATCTTGAGCGAGAGAGAGGAAGTGTGAAAGCAAGCTTCCAGGTCCGGGACTCAAACTACAGTCAGCCATGTGGGAGTCCAGAGACCCTAACCACCACATCACCTGCTGGCCCAAGTATACTCTCTTGTGCCTAGTTTTGTGTCTGGCTTTGGCTGTGTATAAATCCTGGCATCTTGTAGTTCTCCTATCGTCAGACTACAGGGTACAAACCAAGCCATTTGTAAGCAAAATTCTGTACCATTCTTATTTTGACAGGAATGCAGAGCCCTCTATGCCCTCTCCATCAAAACCTACCCAGCTTCTGTCCCTCAGGTTTATTAACATGATTTGGCTTATGGTCCTGACTTTTGAAGGCAGACTATGGGCTGCTGTGATCTGGGTCCCTTATAGGAGAAAGGAACGTCACACTTCCTAATCTCCCTTCTATGCCATGAGGGACAGGCCAGTGCTATCCTTTGTTAAATTAAGACACCACTCACAGGACTGTAAAACATCTGAGCTGTCGTCCGGTAAGTTGGCAGGGAACAGGAGCTGGACACCAACCTTAAGAGCAGCAAGCAGGATGTGACCAGGGCCCTGTCACCTAACTTCTTGGCACCTCAGTTTAAGTTTATTCATCTGTGAAATGAGGACCCTGAAAGTATTCTTTAAGGGCCTTCTAACCCTAGCATTCTATCACCTACCTATTCTCACTCTAGACTGGTTATTGAATATGGTTATTTTCCTGATTTTCTATAGACATGAAGTGGAAAATGAAAATCAAAATGAAAAATGACTAGAAAGAGAACAGTATATAGAATAACCATAGAGCAAATAAGTGTTTTAGCAGAATTTAGTCTCATGGAGAAATTGAAATAAGGTTAGGGAAATAAACGCAATTGCTGAATGCAGTGAATCAGAAGCAATGCTTTGGTTCTCAGAGTGTACTGGGAAATGACACTCACCCTTGTTCTACTCTGTTTTTGCCCTCAGCTGTCTCAGCAGTGCCTGGGCCTGGGCCTCAGAGGGCATGAAATCCACGGCAGAACTGCATCAGTGAGTGTTCCCACCTTGGCCTTGTTTGAAATCCAGAGAAAGTCATAAATACTAGTGTTTAAAGCAGGTGCGGTACAAACACTTTACTTCAGATTTGCACTGAATAGATACTCCATAGTATACCATTGTATTTCCCAAGAAAGTAATTCAGGAAGTAAATATAAACCCGAATTCTATGCTTGCTAGTCTTTTACGTTCTATTTCCAGGAAACTTGGCAAAGCAATTGAGTTGGAAGCAATAAAGCCAACTTATCAAGTCCTCAGTATACAAGAGAAGAAGAGAAAATCAGTGAGTCCAAATCTTTCTTTTCTCTCTCATTTAAAGCAACATTTCTATCTTTGACCCAAGGAGGGAAAGGTGATCTAAAGGAGATACTGAGTTTCAGGAATTTATCTGAAAAACACAAGTCCAACATTAAGTGCAGCGATGTCTGTAAGAACATTTTTCATAATAGTAAAGTACTGGAAATGACTCCATCATTCAAAAATAAATTATGATAAATTCAAGCAACGGAACATTCCATAACCATTAAAAATCTTATTATAGGAGAATTTGATTACGTAGGAAATTTTTCATGATATAGTGTTAAATTAAAAAACAGAATGAAAAAAGCTAATAAAAAATATAGTCTCAATTTTGTAAAATAAATGTATATTAAGAAAAAAGCTGGAAGAACGTTCCCAAAATACAAATAAAAAATATCTTTGGGATCAGAAGATGGTATAGTGGTTATGTCACTGGACTCCCACATGGCTGACCACGGTTTGAGTCCCAGACCCAGCAGCTTGAAACATGCTAGGCACGTGTGTGTGCCTGCCCAAAATCGTAAGAGAAGAAGGGACTGCGGTGTGGCTGTCCCCCTGGGGGGTGATTTCTCACTTTCTGTCTCTCTGTCTTCTTCTGTCTTTCTGGCGAGCGTACACACCCTAAAGCAAAAACCTCTCAAAAAAGAAATTATCTTTAGATCATGGAATTAAAGGTATGTTTGTTTCTTTTTAATACATTTTTGTATTTTCACTTCTTTGTAATTTTACTTGCAAATAAAAAGATAATAAGTACAATTTTTAGAAGATGCTTTCTGGGACCAGCAGTTGGCGTAATGGCAATATTGCTGGACTCCCATGTAGTCAACCGCAGTTCAAGTCCCGGACCCAGTGGCTTAAACTCATGCCGGGTGCATGTGTGAGTGCCCAAGATCCCGAGAGGAAAATGGCGGCATGGCTATTCCCCCCTGGGGGGGGTGATTTCTCGCTTTCTGTCTCTCTGTCTCTCTTTCTGGTGAGCACACGCACCCTTTAGCAAAAACCTCTCAGAAAACAAACAAATAAATAAATAAATAAATAAACAAATAAAAATTTAAAAAGCTTTTCTATGCTTATTAGCTTGGGATTATGTAAAGGTAACAATGGTTACAATCCTTAAATATCCTTCAAATTAAAGAAAAATAACTAAATAATTAAATCATTCCTTCAGGGACACCTGGTCCTATTATAGCATATTCTGTAATCTTTCCATGTGTCTTTCCTTCCAGAACAGTTTCACTTGTTCATTTTGCTAAGCACTTTATGTTTCCAAGAAACGTAAGTGGGTGTTCAGTAAAAGCAGCCTGGCTCTGATAGGGTGGGGTCACAGGCACTGCTTCAGTGCCAGGTGCAGGTAAGACGTTCCTAAGTCTAAGAGGTGTTCCTTGTGAAGGGAAAAAGGCAGGGGCTAAGGGAGCCTCCAGGTCCCACAGCCAGATAAAGTAGTTCCCAGTGGTAGTAACAGAAAATGAGGAGGTTAATGAAAGCTCTGAATGGAGAGAAATTATCTTAAAAACAAATTTTATTCAAGTGAATTAAACTGAGTTGGGAAGCACATTTGTGCCAGAATGGATATTATACTTAGGGCCAGGGCAAAGGGTGTAAATTATAGGAATTGCTAGAAAACAATATAAGCTTCTACCTCTGCAAACCAGCTTAGTAAAAACCAAATACTAGGGTTTGTATTTCATTAATTATGAAATATTTTCATACTCCATAATAATATAATTACTGTTTCTTTAGTATGTTGTGTAAGTTGGAACATTGCTACTATAATTTATCACACCACTTGATCACCGATGGCATGACCCTCCCAAACTGCTGTTTCTATTTGTAATTTCAGCTTTGCCCCTCACCATTGCACCCCACGACCCTGCTCCACACACCCACAAAAGATAAGACATTAGATTCTTTTAAAATTCAATTCGTTCCCCATTCAAGCTATATATAAGGTCAAAAGTGACATAGTGCTCAAAATTATTAATATCTTCATTGTATCTGTTACAATAAGTTATATACTCTAAATTTAACCAACTGGGAATAATAAAAGAGCAGCTGCTAGGTCTGAATTGTGTCAGAGCTGATCTGCTGGGTCTGTTGTTCAGGAAAAAAGGTTCTCACCTTGCTCATAATTGATCTCCCTGGGGGATCGCCTGAAGACATTTTTATCATTGTATACTGTCCTTCTAGCTGTTTAAAAGCAGGGAGAAAAGTTTACTATGATTCAAAATTCAATCTCTTTGAAATTGATTAATACAAGGAAGACTTCAACTAGTTTGTGGAAAATGTATATTATGGAAAACCATGCATGAATTTCCATTTTTTTGCATCAAACTGAATTTGTCCTTTAATTCTGGTTTTCCACAAAATATTTTTGAGCACCTTGTATTTATTTCAGCAACAGTGGAGACATTTAGTCAAATGAGCACTTCTAAGAATGTTACTGAAGTTTTACCACATGGACTGATACTGAAGAGGAAGCAATGGGACCAGATACGACACCTATCTGTCCATGCAAGGACCTCCCCCGTATGACTGCACATTTAAGGGAGGACTTCAGAAAGTTTATAGGAAAGTAGAACTAAATGCAGCATTTTGGGGTGCAAAATAAATTTGAAATTCATGCAGTTTTTTCATAATGTGTATTTTCCGTGAATATTTTGAACACAATCCTCCCCGCACCCCGCCATATATGAGCTTTTTACGTTATTATAGAATAGAAACAATTCTTTTACCAAACAGGGTCAAGATCTATTTGACACTGGATGAAATAGTTTGGCTACTTTCCTCAGAAAATGTGTCCACTGTAGTATTTTGAAATTCCCATGAATTGTGGTGGTGATTGGGCCAAAGTTAATAAGCTAGCATTCTGGCTTAGACTGTTCAGGCTACTACAATAAAATACTATAAATTTCATGGCTTGTAACAACATAAATTAAGTTCTGGACACTGGGAAGTCCAAGATCAATGCACCAGCAGATGAGATGTCAGGCGGAGAGGGAAGGGACAGGGAGGACTGCTTCCTGGTCTGTACATTGCTGCCTTCTTGTGTGTTCTCACATGGTGGATGAGGAGAGGGAGCTCTCTGGGCTCTTTCTCATAAGTGAATTAATCCTGTTCAAGAAGGCTCTGCCCTTGGGACCAGCAGATGGTGTTATGGTTATGTCACTGGACTCCCACGGAGTCGACCACAGTTTGAGTCCCAGACCCAGCGGCTTAAAACTCACACTGGGTGTGTGTGTATGTGTGTGCCCAAATTCCAAGAGGAGAATGTAGGAGAAGGGTTTGTGGCATGGCCATAACCCCCAGGAGGTTATTTTTCACTTTCTGTCTCTCCTTCCCTGTCTCTCCAGTGAGTGTGTGCATCTGATAGCAAAAATCCTCTTTAAAAAAAAAAAAAAAAAGGAAGTGGCCACCCTCGGCACTTTATCACTCCCCAAAGGCTGAATCTCCAAATAGCATCACACTGAGGGAATAGGTTTTACCTTATGATTTTGAGGTGGGGGGCACAGATATCTAGTCTGTAGAACTGACTAAATAAGAAGATAACAAGACTTTTTCTTTTCCTTTTTTGTCTTCAATAGCTTGACAATGAAGTTGAAAAATCAGCAAATCTTGTCATTAGCAACTGGAACCAGCAAATTAAGGCACGTATTCACAACTCTTTCTATAAACTTTTATTATTTCTCAGTTTCTACCAAGTAATTTTTTCTAATAAAATTACTTTATTTTTGTATGAACATTGACAGAGAAATTAGAGAATGTAAAATTCTTTTTTTTTTTTTTTTGGAGAGGTTTTCGCTATAGGGCGCGTGCGCTGGCCAGACAGACAGAGAGAGACAGAGAGACAGAAAGCGAGAAATCACCCCCCAGGAGGGAGGGGCACACGGCCACCCTTCTCCTCCATTCTCCTCTCGGGATCTTGGGCACGCACGCACAGGCGCCTGGCATGAGTTTTAAGCCACCGGGTCTGGGACGCGAACTGTGGTTGACTATGTGGGAGTCCAGCGACATAGCCATTATGCTAACTGCTGGTTCCCAAGAATGTAAAATTCTTGAGCTAAGACAGTTTTCTCCTCATGTACAATTCTGGAGTGTGGCATGTCAATGATGAAGTGCAGTCTGTTAGAGACTGATGTGCAAAGCCTTAAATGAACAAGCACTATTGCCTCGTGTTCTCATTTATCGGCAGCCATGTGACTGACTGCAGATGGAGGGAAAGGGTTGAGAGCTTATTTCTTGAATTCCTTTTGTAGAGATGCCACACATTTAGAGGGAGACAGAAGGTTTTGACTCTGATTCCCAAGATAAAGCCCAAGGAAAGAAAGATCTTAGCACCCATCCTTTATTATCTACTTTTACAGTCCTTGCAATATTCAGATAAAAAAAATCAAGTAGTCTTTCAATCAACCCAGTTCCTAAAGAGGCCGATTCAAATGCAAAACAAAATCTATTTTCTTCTTTTATCTCTGGAGTAGTGTCTTTCAGCCAAATTCAACTGTGTAGAATATAAAATGACCACCTGAATTATAATCCCTCCCAGGCTTCAAGCGTCAACAGGGTAGAGAGACTGAACACTTCTCCCTTCCCAACCCCCCACATTCAAGTGCAAGGCATGTCACAGGATGCCCAGCAAGTGGCCAGCTCTCAAGCCTGGGCATCAGAGCACAAGATTTCTATCCCTGGGCACCAGGGCTCAAGATTTCTATCCAAACTGTTTGTTTGTTTGTTTAAGTTGTGTCAGAGGGCATGTGTACTCACTGAAGAGAGACAGAGAGAGAGAAGAAAAGTGAAAAACATGGGACCAGCAGATGGTATAATGGTTATGTTACTGAACTTCCACATAGTCGACTGTAGTTCAAGTCCTGGACCTGGCGGCTTAAAACACGCTGGGCCTGTGTGTGTGCATGCCCAAAATCCCAAGAGGAGAATGGAGAAGAAGGGATTGTGGCATGCCCATTCTCCCTAGGGGGTGATTTCTTACTTTTTATCTCTCTGTCTCCCTCTGTCTCTCGAGCCAGTGCAAATATTCTATAGCAAAAACCTCTCTTTCAAAAAAGAGAAGTGGAGCTGACAGGTGGCATGGTAGTTAAGGGTGCTGACTCTCACATGGCCAACCACAGTTTGAGTTCTGGACCTGGCAGCTTGCTTTCTCACTTTGTATTTCTCTCAGTCTCTCTCTCACTCTGTCCCTCTCTGGTCAAATTGAAATAAAAAAATAAAGTTAAATAAAATAATTCTTTAAAAAAATTTTTTTAAGGAGAAGTGAAAAGCAGCCCACCATGGGGAATGGTCATGGTACAATCTCTTTTCCTTCATCTTTCCCTCCTTTGGGGATTTTGGGCATGCACTTTGCATGATTCTTAAGCCACTGGGTCCAGGACTTTAACTGCACTATGAGTCAGGCAGATCCCATGTGTGATCCAGCCACCCAAACCACCATACCATGGGCTGGCTCCCTGGCTATAATTTTAAGGAGCATTTTAAGGTGCCAGGTGGTGGCACAATGGTAAAACACAATGTTCTGCAAGGGTAACCCTTATATAAAGGGCCCAGATTCACATATGGACCCTCCATGAATACACAGGACATGCATGTGCCCAGGATTCAGGGCTGGCTGAAGCTGGAGATGGACTGTAGCATTGAAATTCTGCTGGGGGTTCTATCTCTCTTTTTGGCTTATGGAAGAAAAAAAATAAACTTTAAAAAGAGCAAAAGAGAGAGAACATTTTAAAACAGCCTTGATTACATCACTGGTTGATTTAAAGGAATGTGTAGGCAAGTCTTCTGTGCTCGTAATGTTTTTTGTGGTAAAGCGATTACACTAGTTAGAACAATGTTTTGGAAGCTTGCAGTCTTTGGGTAATTTAGCAAAATGTATAGTCTTTTAAATGTACTCAGTATATTGAGAAATACACAGTGTTGTTCAGGGCAAAGTGTTAGTAGCTGCCATGATATTTCAGGTGGATTTTAAGAAGACAGGAATGAAGAACTAAAAATGCACAATCATTCAAGCTAGCATATGAACTTGCCTTGTTTCCAAACTGAAGTGCTTTTCTCTAACCATGAATTTATGCTCCTTTTTTTGTTTCTCATTTGTTTTTGACTCTAGGCCAAAAAGAAATTAATGGTGAGTACCAAGAAACATGAAGCACTTTTCCATCTTATAGAAAGCTCCAAGCAATCCATGACTGAGAAGGAGAAGCAGAAGGTAAACTGTCACGGCCAATGGGATGCATGGATCTTAGACACCTGAGCTTCCTGCTCTTAGGGAAAGCACAAGAGGACTGCCTGGCTGGTCGTTCCCTTTGCATGGGGTCTCTGCAGAGTTGTAGCTAGACAGAGCATGAGAAAGGATTCCAAATCATTCTAGTTCATATATATTTTGGGGGTGGGGGAGATTTTTGTACATGCTCACCAGAGAGATAGGGAGAGAGTGAGAAATCACCCCACTCCCAGGACAGATGGCCTCTATTCTTGTCTTGGGATTTTGGTCATGCACGCACATGTGCCTAGCATGATTTTCAAGCCACTGGGTTTGGGACTCAAACTGCAGTCGGCCATAGGGTAATCCAGTGCCTTAACTACTATACCACTTGCTGGCCCCAAGTCCATATATTTTTTAAGGGTATTATTGACAGTGGCAAATTAGATTAATGGTCCAAATTTTTTAATAGGAATCCCTTACTAAACAAAATTCCTCAACTCACACCCAAAATAAGTTTACACACACACACACACACACACACATATGTATGTACACACACATGTATATAACAAGAGGGGGTCTTCAAAAAGTTCATGAAAACCATGTATTATGAAAAGGTTATGCATAGATTTCAAAATATTTTGCAACAAAATAGACTTGTACATTATTCCATTTATTCCATGAACCTTTTGAAGTCCCTTCATGTATGCTTCATCTTATGTGTAGTACTATATATTATCTTAATATGTTATGAACATTATAAAACATAAAATGTAGAAATTCTTGCAGGTCAAGATAAAGATGAAATAATATTTGAAATGACTCATGATAATGTTTTTATATAGTCATTAAGTAATATTTCCAGGTAAAATGTATATCAGGCAAGGCTTATTCTTGACTATCCTGATATAATTTCATGTTTCTAATAATATTTTTGATAACTTAACAACTTTTTGTCAGGTTTTTTGTGAGATGTCTCTAGATCACCCCAGGTTTCTCTTTTTTTTGTGGGCTATGATATGCACATGTCTGAAAGCAGGAAAAACATTAGCTCTGACGTTTTTTGTGTTTATGTTGTTAGTACAATTTACAGATTTTGGCAAAAATTTTTATTTAAGTTTTTGTGATAGGGTTGTGTTCTCATCAGAGGGGGTTTAGTGAGAAATCACTCTCTAGGGTGAAGGCCACATCCCACAATCTCTTCTCCAGTCTCCTCTCTGGATTTGGGGCGCACATGCACAAGAGCCTGGAATGTTTTTCAAACCACTGGGTCTAGGACTAGAACTGCTCATGTGGGATCCAGCTCCCTTAGCCTCCATGCCACCTACTGGCCCCAGAAATCTTTTAAGATGTTTGTGCATTTTTGTACATAATCACACACCACCTACTGACTTCCAGTCAGCAAGAGACTGCATATACAGTGGTGGTCCCATAAGATTATGATGGGGTTGAAAAATTCTCATCTCCTGGTGATGCTGTAGTGGCCATAAGGTCCTAGCAGAACTCATTACACACATTTATGTGGTGACACATAAATAAACCTCTAGCCATATAAAAGTATAGCACATAAAATTATGTACATAATACTTGATAATGATAATAAGCAGTTATATTACTGGTTTAAGTATTTCTTATACAATTGTTTTATCATTACTTTAAAATGTGCTACTTTTACTTAGAAAAACATTTTACTATAAAACAGTATGCTGTGCAGGACCAGCAGATGGTGTAATGGTTATGTCACTGGACTCCCGTGTAGCTGACTATGGTTCGAGCCTGAACCCGGCAGCTTAAAACTCACACCAGGCACATGTGCGTGTGTGTCTAAAATCTCAAGAAGATAATGGAGAAGAAGGGATTGCAATATGGCCATCCCACGTGGGGGGATGATCTCTCTCTCTCTCTCTCTCTCTCTCTCCAGAAAGCACATGCTTTTTATTTTATAGCAAAAATAAAAAACAAAAACTACAAGCAAACAAACAAAAATAGTATGCTGTGTTATGCTAGCAGCAGCATCTAGCATCTTGTGCTCACCTCGTCCTTGAAGACATCATTTTCATATGGCTCGATTTAATCTCATGTTGTTTGGTTCATCATGGCTCTTTTAATGGGACAGGATGTGGAGGTAGAAGACAGTGATGTTGATGGTCCTGATACCAAGTAGGCCTAGGCTAACATGTATGTCCATGCCTTAGTTTGTAACCAAAATAAATAAATAAATAAAATAAATAAATATAAGAACTAAAACAAAACAAATTTGAATAGAAAAAAAAAGTTTACATACTCTGTCTAGTGTTGTAGTAAGTAGCAAACTGAACTACAACACTGGAAGCCACATGATTGACCATAGGTTCAGATCCCTGTATCAGCCTGAAAATAGATCAGGCCCAAGACCATGACAATCTGGAAGGCTGGGGTAAGGAGGATCATAGTGTGATGAGACAGTGTCAAAGGTGCTTCTGTTCCACTCTCTCTCTCTCATTCTGTCTCTCATTCTCTCTCTTGTGTGCATGCTCGTTCATGCACTTTCTATCATGAATACATTTAAAATTTTACAGAGTCAAAATTCGAAGAAAATCTTTTTGTATAGCTATATAGTGTGTTTCTGTCTTAAGCTAAGTGTTATTACAAAAGAGTCATAAGTTTAAAATATTACAAAATTTGTGTTTTAAAAAAGCTATAGCAAGCTAAGGTTAATTTATTATTAAAGAAAGAAAAAATGTTTAATAACTTTAGTGAAGCCTAAGTGTCCAGTGTTTATGTAATTGTGCAGTGGTATACAGTAATGTCCTAGGCCTTCACATTCACTCACCACTCACTCACTGGCCCACCCAGTGCAACTTCCTGTCCTGAAATCTCTCTTCATGGTAAGTACCCTATCAAACTGTACCTTTTTCTTTTAATCTTTAATACCGCATTTTTATTGTACTTTTTTCTTTATTTAGATACACAGATACTATTATGTTACAATTGCCTACTGTATTCAGTACAGTCACATGTATAGTTATGCAGCCTAGGAGCAATAGGCCATACCATATGGGCTAGGTGTGTCGAAAGTATGTCATCTAGGTGTGTGTGTAAATTCATTCTGTGATAGTTGCACAATGACAGTTACCTGACAATGTATCCCTGTTGTTAAAATGATAAATGACTATATAGGTTTAATTAGGTTTAATTGGAGCTGGATAATAAGTGTGCAAATTCACATGACCCCAGGAAATGCCAATGATGCTGTGTTCCAGGATCCTGGGAGTGAAGTTGCTTGGGAAGGCCCACAGCAGCTTCTCATGTTGCAGAATCCCCTCTCCTCCCACTTTAGAATCCACAGTTGTCATGAAGAAACACCAATATTGACTCATATACTAAATAAGAATAAGCTTGGTAAATATTTGTTAAGAACTTGTTCGGGACCAGCAGATGGCATAGCAGTTACGTCGCTGGACTCCCACATGACTGACTATGGTTAGAGTTCCGTCCCAGAGGCTTCAGACTTGTGTTGGGCATGTGTGCATGCATGTCTAAGATCCCATGACGAGAATGGAGGAGTGATTGCTATATGGCCATTCCCCCTGGGAAGTGATTTCTCCCTTTCTGTCTCTCTGTCTCTCTGGCAAACACATGTGCCTTATAACAAAAAAACACTCCAAAAGAAAAAAAAAAGGAAATATGTTCTTAGGCAAAATGAACATATTGGGTTTTCAGAAAAGTCATGATGCATTTTTGCATAGAAAAACATAGAAAAAATACATCATGACTTTTCGGATAACCCAATTAATACAATTAGAGTATGGGAATAAAATCAAGTATCCTCTGTGTACATCCAAAAGAACTATCTTACATATCTAATATGATATGTGTCCCAGACTGGAAACCTTGAAATAGTCCTCTTCTCCAAAAAATGGAGTCTCTAAGTAAATGCAACCAAAATCATTGCTAGCCACATCATTGCTAGCTCATAAGGAAAAGAAAATTTCCATTGCAATTCTTCATTTCATCTGAAGAAACTTGAATAACTTGAATAACTTAAATTCATTGTTAGCAAGATTTTACAAGATTCTTATTTTTACATGTCACTCTTCTCAGTTTGAGATGATCATAACAAGTATTGAATAATGAGGCCCCTTCTAAGGAGGCTAACCCACAGTATTTTAAAGTGCTAAGCACTAGGACCTGTAATAGATATTCTGAGCTCTCATTAGAAGCTGTTTTTTTATTGCTGTTAAGCATGGACAAAGAGAAAAATCATACCCGGTTAAGAAATAAATTTCCTCTTCCTTCCTTAGAAGATACCCTGAAATGTCTAAGTTCTTAGTCCTCCCCTCCCCTCCTCCAGCTGGTCCTTAACCATAACTTCTGGCTGTTCTTAGATCATAGTCCATACTATTACCATTGTCTAACCTGGTAGTTTTTGCTTTTGCTTTTGTCCTGAAACTTCACGCCTAAGGCAGCATTCATTTTATCATCTCTCATAGATGTGGCTGTGATCTCCAACCTGAGCCAGTCCTTTCTGTGCCGCTTAGCAATCCCTGCTTTCCTGCTCAGCAGTCCTTCTTCTTACCAGAAACTATCTGAACTCCTTTTCCCTCACACCTCCGTCCTCACGATCCACAGCCAGCACACTGTCTTGCCTCCCACCTCACAGAGTACACAGAAGACAGCTTAGCCATCTGCCGACAAAAATCGTAGGTAGCACCTGCATATCTGCAATGGCAATGCCAGTGCTTCATCCTGTGCCCCATCCCATCTCATCCTGCCTCTAGAAGATGCCGTCTCGATGATCTCTCTCTCTTATATCTCAGACATCCACGTCTCTAATGATTTCTTCCCATTAGCCTGCCCAACTCCTATCTTACTCCGTTTGAGCTGCTATAACAAATTAGTGTCAACTGAGTGGCTTAAACACCAAGCACTTATTCATCACAGTTCTGGAGAATGTTAGTCTCAGATCAGGGAGCCTGCGTAGTTGGACATGGTGAGGGCCCTCTGCCAAGTTGCAGTTTTTTGGTTATGTTTTCACAGGGCAGAAAGAGGGCAGAAAGTTTTTTAGGGTCCCTTTTATGAGGGTACAAATCTGTTCAGGAGGGTTCATGATCTCTCAGGTTGTCAGGAAAGTCATGATATATTTTTGCATAGAAAAACAAAGAAAAATACGTCATGACTTTCCCAACGACTTAATAATTAACCCCCTGAAGATCTCATCCTTTAATATCATCTCTTTGGGGATCAGATTTCAACATAGGAATTTGTGATGCAGGGGCAGGAGACAGAAACACTCAGTCCATTGCATCTCCCTATCTTGGGCTAACAGGGCAAGTCAGAGAGACAGCTTTCCATGCTCCTATCCCTCTTCCTCTCCAGATATTATCATCTCTCCTTTTCACAATAACACTTACGGAAAGGGTTGTCTGTCCTCTTATCTCCACTTCCTCACTCCTGGTCACTCCACCCAAGCTAAGATTTCCCCTCCATTCCACTGAGGTTCTTGCCATCAAAAACAATGTCCTTCTTGGTTGTAAAGCTGGTGGACACTTTCCAGTTCTTACCTTGTTTACTATCTTGGGAGTATTAAGTATTTGTTTACATCCCCCTTCTAGAAACATTCTCCTTTCAAAGTTCTGACCAGACCTGACTGAACCCTGCTTAGCTTTTGAGATCAGATGAGATCAGGCCTATTCAGGGTGGTATGACAATATAGAAACACGCACTTTTAAATTTAGCAACTTTTCATTCTTGGTTTTTCTCATACCTTTCTAGAAATTTTATTTGAGACTGTTTTATGGAGTTCAATTTCTCTACCTGAACTTTATAAGCTGCTGTTTCTGGGGATTCCTCTCGAGGGCCTCACCCTGTTTTCAACACGACACCCTCAATATCAATAAATACATTCTCTCAAGGCATCACCTACCATCTATCTACTCTGGTAAAACCAAAATTGGTATCTCTAACCCAGTCCCTCAACTGCTTTCTGGCACTCACGCGCTATGTTTAGAACTAGGCTCATTGCTTTTCTCTATCAAAGATACTCTTTATTCCTGCATTTTCTATATATTTGAATATCACCGCCCACTACATCCTCCCAATTTCTAAACCGAAAGCTTCTTGAATTGACCTACTTATGTCTATTTATACTGTCGCTATTCTCTCCCAGCTCATGATCATCTTTTGCCTGAATTACTGTAACATATCAATCTCTGCTTTCACTTTGGCCTATTACCATGTATTCTCCATCCACAAACCAAACTGACTTTCCTGAACTGGAATCTAAACATATCATTGTCCTTTGAAAAGCCTCCAAAGGTTTCTCAGTGAGCTACAATAAAATACAGACTACTTTACACGGCCCCTCAGGCCCCTCCTGACTTGACCCTTGCCTGTCTCTTCAGCAGCATCTCTTGTTATTTTCCCTCTCAAACTGTGCTCCACCTCACCCCAGTTTCTTTCTGTATCATGCTGTGCTATTTTGCCTTACAAGTTTCTACTTTTGCTTTGGGCTTAAGTATATGGGATTCATTTATGGGGCCAATGCTATGTGCCAAGTCACAACTTAAATGTCTTTTTAATTCCAAAGCTAATTTAAGTGCCTCTCTCTGTGCCCCACTGACACCTGAGTACTGTCATTACCCTGGGAGCTTTATCACTCAGAACGTAATGGCCTGGATGGGCTCTAACTAGAGAGGGAGCTTACACTATTCCCTTCTTTATTCCCCAAGCCTTGCACATGCACTCAAGGACATCTGGTGAATAAACAAGAAAAGTCTGTTTTCTTACAAAGACAGGTAGACATATGGAATCATATGGTTTTTAGAATAGATCTGGCTACTGTCTAAAAGCCAGGGGTAGAGTTATGGAATCAGATTTCCAGGATTAGGGTCCTGGTTTTGGCTACAGACAAATTATTCAACCTTCATGAGCTGCAATTCACCAAGAGAAAAAAGAGGGCCTGAGGGTGGCACAGCAGTAAGCAACGCTGCACAATGCTGGACCCACGTGGGGATACCCAGATTCACATCCCAGTGCTTTCATGGACATGCTGGGCACATGCCCATACCCACACCCGTGATTTAGGCTGGCTGAGGCAGAGGATGGAGGCCTTGCTGGAGGTTCTGTCTCAGAAGAAATATATAAATAAATCTTTTTTAAAAAGAGGAGAAAGTGAAACAATTGAATCTTTGACAAATTTTAGTAAAGGTTGTAAAAAGTTCTTTAATGAAGAATATAAGAGTCTACATTCTTCATTATACATATATTTGGACCTATTTGCTATATCTTTGCTGAGCAGAAACTTCTAGTCAGTAGCTCAAAGTGTAGGCTGATGAATGTCTGTGGTAATCTCAAATGACTTAGTTCTCATTACTAAGAGTCTGAGTATTTCCAAGAAGAGTTTAAGGACACTGATTTAGCAAAAGATAGTCATGGCACCCTTTGAGTTCTTTAATTATATTGCTATCAGGCGAAAATTCACAAGCTCATGTGTCTGCAGATAGATGTGGTTCATTGCACTTGATTCACAAAACCAAATGTGCCCTGCATGGGTCATTCATCAGAGCTGAGGGACAGCTGAATAGCCACCATATCAATTGGAATAATAGAGTGGGTAGTATTAATATTCAGCATTTGGGATGAATGTCCTTCATTACCATAATGTCAGTCAAAATGTCCTTAAACATAGAGAGGATCATTCTTAAAACTCTTTGTCTCTGTCCTTGAAACTCTTAAATGGCTAAAGTCAGGGAGTTCCTTGATGTTCCTTAAAGAGTGGATCAATTTGGAGATTGCAGTCTTGAGTAAGAGATCCTTGACCTGCACTGCCTGTCGGTCTTCTTGTTTTCATGCATGTGGACAAACCACGTCATATGGAAGGTCTTGATATCTTCATGCATAAAGTTAAGGCAACCATACTGCAAGTTTTCTTCTAGCCCTGCCATCCCTTTTTTCTGAAAAAGATATTTGGTCTTATTATCTATAGTTACTATTTATGACTGTAGCAAAGAGGTAAAAAATCATATCATTGGGCCACATATAATTCTTTCTATGGAATTATGAAGGGCTTTTGCAAATGTGTTAATGCATATGTGACATTAATGTTTTAATTTAGCTCCTCAATAAACTGAAAAAATCAACCAAGAAGTTGGAAAAAGAAGATGAAAATTACTACCAAAAAAACATGGCGGGCTATTCTACCAGACTGAAATGGGAAAACACACTAGAAAACTGCTACCAGGTTAGTTACGCATTCACATTTTTTTTCTTTTTCAGGGTAGCTTTGTATGCCCTTGGAAATGGAGGTCAGATCTATAGTTAAATGACTTGGTCTCTAGCTCAGCTATAATCCTCACTCCTATTATGACTCTAAAAAAAACTCATTACACCTCATTGTTTCCCAGTTTCGTTATGGATACAGTTACCAGTGAATATTTAATGCGTATGGTTGACCAGAGTTTCTGCTTCTAATCCTCAACAGACACACTAACACTCAGGTAACTTCAAAAGTACTATCAAAGTAAAGTGCAGATTAAGGCTTAATTAAGTATTAGGTACTCAGAAATAAGTTTGAGATATGAGAATTGATTCCTACAGTGATTATTTATGGAGTTTCTTTGATTGCCGGACCTTGTGTTGAGCTCTGGAGATACATAACAATGAATAAAATACCATCGTTGTTAACACTTGAGATGTGTACATCTTAGTAGCAAAGACAGGCAAATGAAAGAAATATGGCAAATCGTTCAGTAAAAATAGGCAAATGATGTGAATGAGCAAATCACAAAAGGGGAAATAAAAATTACTAAAAAAACACATGAAAAGATGTCCAGTCACTTGGTGATTTCTCACTTTCCCCTCTAGTTGTCTCTGTTTCTCTCTCTCTCCAGTGAGCACATATACTCTAAGGCAAAAGCTTCTTTAAAAAAAAGTAAAAAATTATAAAGTGAGAGTATCAAGTATTAGCAAAGATGTTGAAAAAATTCTTGTAGCCCTTGAATGGGAATAATTTAATGATATCTAATGAAATTGAAATGTGTATGTATCCACAACACCGCAGTTCCCTTTCAGGCATGTAAAGAAAAATTTATGCCTATACTCCAAGAGTAGTACACAGGAATGTTTATTGCAGAACTGTTTATAACTGCATGGCAATTTATAATTGTTTATAATTCATATCCATCAATAGAAGAATTACTCCTAAAATGTGGTCTGATTTGGGAAGTGAACTAATATCCAGCAATAAAGAGTTAATTAAAACTGTTGAAACATGATTAGTCTCAAAAATGTGACGGTGCAGAAAGAAACATTTTTTATACAATTTATGTAATTTTTTAAAAGATTTTTTCAGTAGGGCCTGTGTGCTAACCAGAGAGAGATAAGAAAGAGAGAGACAGACAGAGAGGAAAATGAGAAATCACCCCCTTCCCCCTGGGGATGGCCACACCACAATCCCTTCTCCTCCATTCTCCTGTCAGATTTTCAGTACACATGCACATACACCCAGCAATTTTTTTTCAAGCATCCAACGCTCCCACAGAGAGTCAACCATGTGGGAGCCCAGCACCTTAACCATCACACCATCTGATGGCCAAATTTATATAATTTTAAAAAGTATTAAATACACTCTCTACTGAGGTACATGTATGTGTGTGTGTGTGTGTGTACGTGTGCACACATGTGTGCATGTAGTTTAGAAACGAGGTCTTGCTGTGTTATCCCAGCTGGCCTCAAACTCACAATGTTCCTGCCTTACTCTTCGGAGTAGCTTGGATTACAGGCACAAGTCACCACACCTTGTGCATGTGTGTGTGTGTGTGTGTGTGTGTGTGTGTGTGTAGATGCGTACATATAGACTGGATCTATGCTGGATAGGAAGATTACGCTTGTATGGGAATACAGCAGAACTGCCACAGTCACACAGCCTGTGGACAGCCTCCATCAAAGCCCTACAACCTCAGACTCAAAAGTTACTTCAACTTAATGTGCATAGTGTGGCTCTATGTTATTTTAAGTCAACATAGATTTGACCAAATTAAATAATTGCCTTTTCTGGATGGTAAGAACATGAACATTTTTTGTTTTATTTTTCTCCATGTGTTTTAAGTTTAAAAAATGTTTGAAGGAGGTACAGCTGGGAAAAGAAGCCATCTACTGGCCAATATGTAGCAAGTACTTGGTGCTTGGTGTGGGCAGGCACTGTGCGAACAACTCCAGTGCCTATTTTTGTACACATAGCAGCGACATTAGGAAGAAGGCAATAATTGTATTCTTAACTTACAGTTGAGGAAACTGAAGTGGCAAAGATGAAGTAACTTGCCCAAGGTGGTTTCAGAATTCAACCCAGGCATCTGTACTGTGTTCCTGCCCCAGTGAGAACTGGGAGAAGGCAGATTTATGGCAAGCAGAAACTGAAGAGCTGTATTTAGATCTCTTGCAGTTCAACCACTTTCAGGGCAGGACAGATGCTGAGGTAGAGAAGAAAGGGAATTAAAGGAGAGATAAAAACTTGGTTCAAAGAGAGGAGGAAATGGGAAGAAACTCTTCTTTCATTTATGCCTTTGAACATAGGATTCTGGTACTTCCCTGAATAGATTTTAGATGAAGGTGATGGGAAACAACCAGGGACTGAACTTCCAGCTTCATCCATTGGAAGTCTGGCTTTCCAGCCTGGACTCTGAGGTCTTGCCTCACCGACTAGGACCTCCCAGTGAAGCTGTGGCCTTTCCCTTGAGACCGACTTCCTTGGATGTCCCTGCTGGGAAATAGGAGATAAATCATTGTTACCACCCACTTCATCTTCCAGGCACTTTTCAAGACTATGAGACAAATACGTAGCCTCAGTGTCTCCATCCTCACTATTTTACCTTCATCACTGCACTGAGAGGTAATAATGATTCTTACTGGTGTAGCTGACATCAGGCCAGCCTGCAACATGTGTTAGGCATTGCTAGTACTCTCGTTACCAGCCTCTTACTAGGGCTCTTCTTCCTACACACTCTTTGACCTTCCTTCTCCTGCCTCTCCCCTACCTTAAGCAGTTCCAGTTTCTACAGTGAAGCATCATGGACATTATCTCCTTTCCTTACAAAGTCTTCCTGAAATGACATTTATACTTCAAAAGAGCTCCTTTCAACTTCACCTTTAAGAGTATTTAAGGCTTAGGTTTTACTTGTTTACTTGTTTGTTTGCTGGTTTAATTACACTCCAGCTCACATGGAATAATCTCCTTAAGGAAAAGTGAAATTTCTTCTCACCTCTCTTGTAGTTTAGATTTTCGCTAGCACTATGCTTGAGGCCAGGAGTAGTTCATGCTTTCTTTTTCTTAGTTTACTCAGCTCCCTTTCCCCACCTTCTTTTCAGCCAGCTCACTTTGGCCTCCTGAGTGCCATCTCAGGCCTATTTGACCCAGGTTGAGACAATCTGCCAAGTCATCCTTGCTGACCCCCAGTAATGACACCCTGTGTTGTATTTCCTTGGCTTATATGTGCTCAGTCTATACAAACAGATAGTTGACTCAAATATTACTCTATGCATTCTGTATCTTTTACATATTTAAAAAGTCAAAAGTTAATTGTTAGATTTGTGAAAACGTGTAACAATAGCAGGCTGAATTGGATTAAAGGGGAATTTCATTACAAGTATGAGAAACAGAAATGAAACCATTGAGGGTCTTCCAGTTTCATTTTTTTCTCTATTTTCTCACCATCCTTTTGTAAAACTTAATAAAGGAATTCATCTTAGGAACCTCTGAAGTGCCCTTTTATTCTTTTATATTCTATAAGTTCAATTTGCAGATTTTTTTCAGACAATACTTATTGAACCATGGTCAAGGCAGTTTACTAGACAGTGTGAGAAATACAGTCTTTCATTTATTTTATTTTTTTTATTTATTTAGTTAGTTAGTTATGGAGAGGCTTTGCTATAGGGTGCATGTGCTTGCCAGAAAGACAGGGAGAGACAGAGACAGAAAGCGAGAAATCACCCCCCAGGGGGGATGGCCATGCCGCAATCGCTTCTCCTCCATTCTCCTCTTGGGATCTTGGGCACATACACACACACGTCCAGCGTGAGTTTTAAGTCACTGGGTCCAGGACTCAAACCGCTGTCGACTACGTGGGAGTCCAGTGACATAGCCATTACACCAACTGCTGGTCCCAGAAATATAAAATCTTAAGTGCAATTATTAAGTAATGAAATCAGTTCCACACACCAATGTCAAAATTAGTTGTTCATAATCATCCTATATTCTAGCCACATTTCCTATCTTCCAAGAAGAAATAATTCCATTCATAGAAATAATCTATAACATTTTTGTAAAATAGCCACATTACCAAGAATTACCAAGAATCAAATGGTTGGTCTGATAATACTCAGGAAACTATCTTACAAAACCATTTACAATGTATGTTAAGAGCCTTTAAAATGTTCCCTTTTTCTTGCCAGCCCCATCGCCTAGTGTTTAAGGGAGCCAGACCCTACATGGCTGACTGTGTAGTTTGAATCTTGGCCATAGAGGCTTGAAAAACATGTGGGACACATGTATATGCTTGCCCCACAAATCCCAACAGGATGAAGAGATGGGAGAGAAGGACTTGTGGCATAACCACACTCCATGGGAGGTGGAGTTGTTTCTCTCTCTCTCTTCCTCTCTCTGACAAGCACACCTACCTTATGGCAAATTAAAAAACAACAACAACAACAATAAAAACAAGTTCTGTTTATCAACCAATGTTCCTTTTCTGAACCATAGAACACAGAAAGTGACTTGAGTGAATATTTTCTCAGTTCTTCCAAGGATAGTACCACTGCAGATGCAGACAGATGGTAATGCATTGCCTCCAATGGATGCCTTAGGACATTAAGGCTTGATTCTCTCCTAGGGCCCTGTTGGAAAGGATAATTTCCTTTCTGTAAATCTGTCTTGAGGAAGTAGCTGAAAAACAAGACACAGATTTCTGTTTAAAATACATTTAAAGTAAGAGAGAAGAAACAACCCAAATGACCAGCTTTAAATGGATGATTAAATGAATCAATACACACCAACACAAAGGACTGACATGAGTGATAAAAATTCTGTTTTCAGGGCCAGCCCATGGCTTAGTGATTAGGAGAACCAGATCTCACATGGCCAACTGTGGTTTGAATCCCAGCCTTGGTGGCTTAAAATCATGACAGATTTGTGTGCACATATACCCCAGATCCAAGTAGGATGGAGAAATGGAGGAGGAGGTATTGTGA